ACGAAAGTAGAAACCCTAAATATGACAGGAAACTCAGGAAGAACTTGGAACTTGAGTGAAATTCCATACCCTGTTTATGACAAGAAGCTCGAAAAACCATACCCTGTTCAGCGSATCATCCCYGTATAGTCCATATATGGGARWACCCTCCCCCCGGGACGACAGTAGCATTACGCGGGTAATTCCCGCCATCTTGACAAGATATGCTTGATAGGTGACATAGTACCATGCACAGCATTCAGAATAACACGGAAACGGTAAGAGTTTCACCGGGGTTCACCTCCATATTTTTGATCTTTAGGAATTAAAGCTTCAGAATATCTATAAATACAGACATGTTATCCATCGTAAAACCAGATGGCAAGCGATACTGAGATGCACGATATTTCAACCTTCAGTGTCAGCGTGTGAAAGCGATGGCCATTTTAATGTTATAAATGCACATAGAAATATGTCTTATCTGGAAACGAGACTTGTTGTACAGGAATTACTGCCATTAATCCATGCGACAATTAAAAGATACGAGGTTATGATAAGTAATACGAGGGAAAATTAATGATTCTTTACGACTATGAAATTCTTGTGAAATTTTTTGTTGCCCGGCTGTGATCATGATTGTGTTTGGTCGATTAGGTCACGTGCCACTTTATCACCCTCCTCTGTCACGGGTGGTTTCAACAGCCGTAGTTGCCTCACCATCAGCGATTTCACCATAGATTTTGGCAGCGATATAGAAGTGGTTGAGCATTCATTGTCGGCCAGATCGGCCAACGTCCCCGGCATGAATTCTGCATTTGCAGGTACGTCTTGGGTTCCTTTTTAAACGCCTGGCAGTCATCATCAAGTGCCTTTGGCATCAGGTATGTCAGATCCGGAAGTACCCTCGTTTATCAGTACTTTCTCGCTGCCTAGCACTCCGAACCCGTTGTCTGCCTTTGTTACGGTGAATTCTTGCCTGAATTCACTCGCTGGTCGTACCACAGGCTTATTGTTGGCCTCATCTGCTCTTCTCCCGTCAGTTCTACCTCCTTAGCTTTATCGGCCATTTGCTACTGGTACCGGATATTCACCTTTCCCAGCACATTGTGTCTCAGATCCTAGCCAGCAAGTTTATCGATTTGAATGACTTTAATACTTCCCGCGAATCTGCTGCCGTTTTGTGTCGAGTCCGAACCTCAGCTCCAGTACTTGATGGCCGACTTGTTCTGACCAGTCAACCGAAGAAGCTTAAACATCGTTCCGAAGATGTGGTTAGCTGGATCGAAACTTCTTTCTCTACTCCATGGTCTTGACATCATTCTATCCCCAGCGTTGGCGGGATTTGTTGAGCTACAAACTCCTGACAATCCGTACCTACAGACATTTCGCCGGGATTGCATGTTTGGCGTACGACCAGGCCTTTTAGGGAGAATGCCGCGGCAGTGAACATTAACTCGGGGAGCGGGATCCCTAAGGCGGCTTGAGTTCTTTCATATCCGTGGTGCTAGTTGCGCTTCCATTCACGATGATGGCTGTCTCCTGTCGTATGAGTGTCCACTCGATAGTCACGATTGCAGGCTACCGTCTTTATGTTACACGGGGCGTGGTTATCTGTTGACGCTTAGGACCTTTTAAGTGTTTGCGCCGATCGCTGTGCTAATCGTGGCGCTATTCGTTGTATTGTCCTTTTGTCAACTCGGCTAGGCCATGGCCTGGCTCGCTCTCTGTGGTTAGCATGCATTGCCTTACCGGCAACAGGCAAGACAGAGTGCGCTCAACTTTCTTGCGCGCGCTATAGTTGCACTGTTTACTTTGCGCTATCGCTTCCCTGCAATTGTTGGTCTTTGGGTCGATGCTTTCCGGTCGACTTGTCTGGTAGCGGCCATCGCGGCCTCGTCTTTAATTGTTCGCTATGTCGGCCGACTGGTTTCAGCACAGCGTCTGGCTATCATTCGTAACTAGGAGGCCTGGACACTTGTTGCGCTGATCGTTGCATAAAATTGTTGCGCTTTCATTTATCAACTCTGCTGGATGAGGCTACCATTCATTGATTGGGACCTGGGAACGTATTGAGCTGATCTTTGCGCAAAAATCGTTGCACTTTCGTTAGTAAACTCTGCTAGATGAGGCTATTATTCGTTTGTTTGGGCCTGGGCACTTGTTGCGCTAATGGTTGCGCTTTCATTACTGAAAATTCAACGGTATTAATGGAAAGTATGTTCCCAGACTTGGAATGGTATCTATGAATAGCTGAGTTATAAACGAGGCTAAACTCGTACAAAATACACGAGTCTGCGATCATAAAAAACAGGGTATGTGGTCGGCAAATTAAAAAGATGGCTATACTGCGCATGCTTGGAATAAGACCGCCCTTATTAAGCAATAAGATCATGGAACAAGGGCTACAGGTTTGTTAGCCACTGGCTGTTAAGTGGTACCCTCGTAAAATAGGGACTATAGATTTATTTCAATTTCATATTCTCTCGCCAAAATGTTACAAATTAACAGAAACTGACAAACAGATTTTTAAAAAAACAGTTTCAAATTTTGAATTATTTTCTTGCGAAACTGACTAAAAGTAAAATACCTAAAATAACAGTAAAATATAGTTTACAAGAGGGTCTTGAAGGGGAAGGGAGGGGAGGGGGGCAGATATTCGTTAAATTTTCAAATTTTATGTTTTCTGTGTCAGTTATATTTCAGATTTTTTTTCAGTTGTAAGCTAAATTTTATGGCATTTGTCAGTTGTCACTAAACTCCACCCAGCTAGTGTCCCTTTTTTATTATAACTAAATATGGAACTGAGAAATCATTAGTAATAGACCCC